GGTGGTAGCCCCAAGTCTCCATTCGTGCATAGGGGTGGTTGCGTCTCGATAGCTATAAGGGTGCGGGAGATATGAGGCTGAAAGTGGTTAAAAGTGGCTTTCTATTTCGAATGTTTTGTTCGAATTTGTTCGAATTAAATTCAAACATAAAATTCGAATGTTGGTTCATTATACAACGATTGTAAACGTTCCAGAAACGTTGAAAATAGTTCGTTTGACTGGACGTAAAAATTCTCTAATTAGTTTGGAAACGGGGGACCTAATTCTTGCATTCTGTGAAAACGGGTAAGATTAGCCATAATGTAATTATCTTAATCTTCACAATTGTTACTTTTTGCCCAGCGAAGCGGGTCCTAGCAGCTAGCAAGGCATAAAAATTAAACGTATTAAACTAATTAATTAATGATAATAATATATTGTAATTTCCTTACATCATTAACAAATTCGAATTATACTTGCTCCCTTAAAAATTTCAGATCATCTACAAAAACATAATCTAAAGCTATACATTAATTATATACAGTAGAGCGTCGTTTATCCGAAAGTCGGTTATCCGAAACGTCAGTTATCCGAAAGAATTCCAGTTCGCAAATTTAAATTTTCGCTAGTGCTGTGGCGCTTCAATCTTTGGCTATGTCTTGGGCTACTTAGATATTTTACGTTTTTGATACTAAATTAACTTCTGATGTATAATTTTTTATTGTTTTTATATTTTTTAATATACAGTGGTGCATCGTATAACTTACATCTCGAATAACGGACGCTGCGAATAACGGACATTCTGTTTGGCCTTTACGTGACTCCAGCAACGGACTGGCTGCAAAAAGTGGACTTTCCGTTCAGCAGTTACGTGAGTCGAACAACGGACTTTCTGCGAACAAGTGCGAATGATGTTCCCACTCTTTTGTTGTTGCCAATGAAAAACTGCTATTTTTATAATACATTAGTATAGTATTATTAGAATATATTATTAGTATATCTGAAGTACAGAGCTCACGTTGGGATTCGGCTTGCTCTCTTGTTTATTATGTACAATACCTCAGTGCAGAATATTTACATTTATTCAAGTGTTGTGCAAATCATGGCTTCTAAAAAACAGAAAGGTGTTTTCAATTCAAACAAAGCAAGAAATCAACAGAAGGAGTGAAAGTTGA